ATTAACTAGGAAATTTTCTTATAACTGAAGAAAATTTCAAAGTAAATTTTCAACAATAGAAAGAAGTACTCTTTTCAATTCTATTCTCAAACGTGCCGTTGCTAATAGAAAAAATAAAATATTGTATATATTTTTCGTTCATGACAAGAAAGAAAATCTGTCAAAATTAGTATAATTAAGTTTTAGTTTTCATTTGATGAAATTTTTATTTTGCAGTTCAACAAGAGCAAAAAATAATTGACAACTTTTTCTACTTTTAAAATAATAGAATAAAAAATTTTGTAAATAAAAAAAAAAGTAAATGCTTTAATTTTTAATAACAAAATGATAGATTGTTTCTTGAATTATATTGTACAGAATCTCTTGGTTTTTTTTAAATTTTATATTTGATGTTCATGATGATAAGTATAAAATTGATAATTGTAATGATTTCACTGTAAGCAAACATTTTGAAAAAAAAAGTTAAAAAATTTAATAATGATTAGTAAAATGGCAAAAAAAAGCTGTGTATCATTTATAGAAATCATTGATATGATTGGATTTGAAAAAAGAAAAAATGCTGTAGTACATGATGATAGATATCTATTCGATGATTTTCGACAGATGATATAATTAGAAAAATACTTTTTGCTGTAGTAGTTTCTATTGTTCAACTAACGTTCGATATTATTTTAATAGTTCTATATGAAAATAAAGATCTAAGTGATGATTAAAAGTATTTCAACGACTTTTCTTTTTTCTTCATAATTATCTTCTTATTATATATTATTATTCTTATTATCTACTACTGTATTATCGCTTATTATCTTATTGTTTATTACGTTTACTACATTCAACATTTATTATTATTTTTTTTTTCTTACAAACGAAAAAATCTCTCAAAGTGTTTATCTCGATCAATTTCAACGATTTTCTGTCGTTCGCTTTTTCATCGTGTTTAACATATAATATTAAAAAAATCCATCAATCAATCAACTTAAAAATAGAATGTCAAAATATTGCTTTCTGGTATTGTTTGATTTTAATTATATTCACAAAAATTTCGATGTTTTAATTCTTTTCTTTATTAAATTATAGAATTTCGTTTTCTGAAGAATGATCATACAGCACATATCTTCATATAAACAGATTTATTTCTATTATTATTGATCATATATATTTGTGATAATAATGTACTTTAGTATACTCCAAGAATATACCAAAACTATTCTCTAATATGTTTTAGCTAGTTTAAATCTTCAATTAACGTGTGTCCCGAGTATATTTTGTCTGGATTCATTGTTTGTAAGTCTATCTAGTAATAAAGTGCAACTACTTCATCATACTTTACTGATACGTGAATTGTAATAAAGTATTTGTGCTTTATAGACAAACTGACTTATATAAAATGAACTCCGACTAATGTGCTCTTGACATACATATATAGTAGACATGAAATAGCTAAACGAACCTAGTATTGATATACTATTAGAGTACACTGAAGTACGAATGAAGTGGGGCATTTTCCATATGTTCTGTCATATATAACACATATGTATAGATTTGTTCTGTTCAGTTTTAAGTATATTCGTGAATTTTGCCTGTAGTGAATATTTTTCTTTCTTTCAGCATATACTGTAATTTGTTATTCATTTTTATCTATGAAATTTCTCCATTTTACATTTTTCTATCGTTTAATGACCTATTCTCATCGCATCATAGTGCCTGCCATCATATATATCTGCTGACAGAGCTGTCGCGAGATGTTAAAAAATGAGGAGGGGGGTCGGAAAATTTTTCGAAAATTTTTCAAAAACCTCTATAAATTATCGAAATTTTGAAAAAAGAAATTTACGGATTTATTGAAAATTTTTGGAGATCTTTGAAAATATTTGAAGATTTTTCAAAGATTTTTGAAAAAATTTAGAAATTTTTGAAGAATTTTTGAAAATTTTTCGAAAATTTCTTGAAAATTTTTGAAAAAAATTGAGCAAAAAAAACAAAATTTCAAAAAATTCGGGGGGTGACCCCTCGTCCCCCCCCGCTCGCGACAGCTCTGCCTACTGATCATCTATTAAACACATATATGATAATTGATGTTTTCCTTGTTTTTTTTCTTTCATGTCTATCTCATTAGTGAGTTCACATCCTAATCTCACCTACCTCACAGCAATATAAAAATCATTGCTACAAAGATATATAATCTATGATAATGGAAAAATAGATATTTTTATATGAAGCCATGTGGCATATAGTCTTTCTTCAGAAAACGGAATTCTATCATTTGACAAAGAAAAAAACAAAAAATCAAAAAACATTGAAACTTCTATGAATATAATCAATATCAAACAATACAAGAAAACAATTTTCTGACTTTTAGTATGTATTTTTATTAACTGATATGAATTTTTTAATATTGCATGTTATGTACTATAAGAGTAAAATAAAAATCTTCATAGCTTTTGAAAAAAAGAGATAGAAATCGAAATCTTTTAAGTATTGATACTAGGATACGATATAATATCTATCAGTCAAAAAATTATTACAACTGGAGAGATACATCGTGAAAGATTTTTTCGTAGGCCATAAATAATCATGTTGATGGTTTTTATTTATTATTATTGATGTTTTCAATAAACCATAGATGCAACTGTTTTTTCTGAATAACTTTTAATAGAAAGAAGGTAGCAAACTACGTCTTTTATTATTCACAAAAGACATGTTAGGGCGTTAAAAGTTTTTTTTTAGAAAATTTTTCACTTTATCTTGATTTTACTTGCTCGTATTGATGGAAAGAAGTTCAAATTCTACAGATCGATATAAGACTAAGATCTCTTTAGATTGTATCATTTAAGAGTTATAAAGACTTTCTAGAAATGATAGATTTTGTATTATCTTAAATCAGATCATGATAAAGATAATTGTTCATATTTGAGTTGAATAATGACATTTAGTTTGAACATTATGATTTAATGATATAGAATCATATTGAAACTGAGGAAAAAAAAACATCATTACTGAACTTAACATTATTGATTATCTCTATTTTAATCTATTTTGAGATGATCTAAAAATCAGTCGATCGAATTTTAAAGATCTCTGAAAAATCTTTATAACTTATGAATGGTAGAAACTAAAAATAAGATCATATTTAAATCTATTTAATATGACATAGTCTTATGCCTCGATAACATTTCTTTTTTGAATAGCAGAAACTACATCTTGCTATCTGCTTTCTATCAAAATTTATTCAAAGAAAAGCTACATTCATTGCTTTGTAAAAAACTCTAGTATTAATGGTAATGTAGCACCCCTAGTGGTTCATAATAAAGTATATGACGTCTTATTAAATTTTTCTGACTTATATCTTTTTTTTTGTTATTAAAAAAATAAGCGTCATTCGTTTTTATTTCGTTGTTGTTTTATTTATCTGAAAAACGTAATATTAATGACTCAATTGTAGTTTTAAAATTCGACTTGATTTTGCATAGTCACAAAAAAAAATATACTCGAACAATGTTTTTCTTTCATGTTTAAAAAAAGAAACTACACATGGTTTTCAACTTATTGTTAATAGTGCCCTAAGGAAAAGTTATGAGAAATACATCCCTACTGTTTTCTTTACCTTTTATTCTATTTGTTTGAAAAGAAAAAAAGAACATCCATGTCTATAGTGAAAAAAGTGTGACAACTTTTTATTGAAAGTCATACCCTACATTATAAAGAATATTAAAAGTAAATTTACAACATCAAATAAGAAAAAGTAAACCAATGAAAAAAAATTATTATTTTAAATATTAAATTTAAAGTTCTATCATATCGTTTTCAATTTCATTAGAATAATAATTAAGAAATTATTTTATAGTAAAAGTTATCGATTAGTAAATGATACTACTAGATAAAATTATAAATCTATCACTCCTCGAGATCTCTTTTTTTAATAGAAACTTTGCACATTTCTGTCTTGATATTTTTTTTTATTTAATTGAATACTAACAAACATTTACGACAACTAAATAACTTTAGGGTATCTATCAGTTTTCGACATGTTCGATAATGACTGTAGTAATCGCATTTTTTTTTTCTTTTGTAAATTCAATAACAAGACTATTAGCATAGATCGATATAATTTTTCATGTCTTACAAAATAAATATATCAATCATCATGTTGATTGATTAGATTATATAAGACTAAACAGGTACGATATGGTACCTGCTTAACTCTACATAAACCAATCATTGAAAATAATCGATATATCATATTGTAGAAAATGAAAAATTGCTTCGATCTATACTATGAGTTTTGTTATTCGGTGCGCAATAGAAAAAAATACGATTACCCTAGTTTAATTGAAAACGGTTGAAGCTGATAAACTTCCTAACTACCACCGACAAAATTAAGATTACATATATTTTTCATAAATATTTTCATTAATGGTCAACCACGAAAAAATATAAGTTTTTCAGATATTTTTTTTCATCTATAGAACTTTGTAGAGCTCATTTCGCTGATTATTTTGATAAAAAAAAATATTGAAATTTACTCAATAAATAACGGCAATAGAGTCAAAATACTCAAAACTTACGACTGTTCGTGACTACTGTTGATTAATAGGTGATATTTTTGAGTATTCGGAGCCAAGGTCTGTTATTTATTGGGTAAATTTGAATATTTTTTTTTTACCAAAATGATCAGCGAAACGAACTCTACAAAGTTCTACAGATGAAAAAAATTTCTAAAAAACTTATATTTTTCGTGGTTGATCATTAATGAAAATATCTATCAAAAATACGTGTAACGTTAATCTTGTCGGTAGTAATAAGGTTATTTAATCGTCGAAAATCTTTGGTATACAACAAAACAAAAAATAATTAGACAGAAATATGCAATATTTCATTCTTTATTGTTCTATGCTATTAAAAATGAGATCTAAGAACATAGACAATTTATAATATTATCCGAATATATCCTTATAATTTATTTGTTTTTTTTTTTATTAAGATTATTAGCAAAAATTCAAATGCAGTGTGTAATACATTGTCGTAATAGAACTATTTTCTTTTCATTACTTACTCTATTTATCTTACTATCAGCATATATTCTTTATCCATGGTTTTATTTTGCATGGATTTGGCGAAAAAGTGATATTAATCATATTGATTATTCATTAGTATCAAAATTAAATCATAGTCTATTAAATGTTCCAGCTATAATTCATCAAACATGGCATGATACTGATACAATACCTTATGATTGGCAACAAGCATCAAATAGTTGTCGAGAATTTCATCCAAATTATGAATATCATTTATGGACAGATAAAGATGCTCGACGTTTAATTGAAAAAGAATTTCCTTGTCTATTATCAACCTATGATTCATATCCATATGATATTCAACGTGCTGATGTTATTCGTCTTGTTGTTTTATATGTATATGGAGGAATTTATTTAGATTTAGATATTATTTGTTTAAAATCTTTTGATCAATTACGTACAAATAGTTTTGTTTTACCAAAAACAATGCCTGTTGGTTTATCAAATGATTTTATTATAGCTGCACCAAAACATCCATTTTTATTACAAGTTCTTAATGATTTACCAAAATATAATCGAAATTATCTTACAAAGTAAATTTTATTATTTTTTTTAATGTATTTTTTAAGGAAATTCATCAGCAAAAGTTGTCATAGGCTTCAAATTTCTAAATACTAGGTCGTAAAAACTAAAAACTATACCAATTTCTCAGCTATAATTAGTTTAATAGAGCTAGAATTTTTTCGTAGATACTACATACTATTTAGGGTATCTATTTTTTTTTATTTTCTTTTTATCTCTTTCCATTCAAATAAAAAGATCAAAACGCTGAGCATATCTGCAAAAATACATGCTTTTGTTTTTACTAGAGCGTTGTTTGTAAAAATCTAACAAAAATCAACAGTACAATATTTTTTCAAAACAAAAAGGTAAACATCCCAAACATAGTCTAATACTTGTAACAGCGCGTCAATTCGACCGTATACACCATGTCTGAGAAACGGAAGCATATGCTATAATTTTTTTTCATTTAAAAACTAGTTTCGAAAAAAACAAAAAAAGAAAGGAAGCGATCCATTTTCCATAGGTTATTCTCCTTCCCCCCTGCTAGTTATTTTTCTTTTAATTATTTTATAGTAGGGATTGATGTGAGGATATGAGATCACTAAACCAAACCTTGGACATTTTTACTTGTGAGAGAAAAATCAATGCTTTAGGACAGGAATCATTTTCAACAAATATTGACCCTTATGCTATATTATGATTTTATATCTCATCTATAGTTGCATGAACAATTACCAAAATTGTACTGTATATACAACAGAGGATACTCTAGAAAATAAAAATAAAATTATCTTAGACAATTGCTTTTTTTATGAGTACTGCCTATCATTAAAGAGTAGTCACTGCAGCGCTGAAACCGGTCCGGCCGGACAGGACCGGACCGGTTTGGAAAATCTACCGGCCCGGAAAATACTGGAAATTCACCAGCTGAAAATTAAAAATAACTATTTTCATTTTCTCTGCTTTCTTGTAAAAAAAAATGTTATTTTTGGTTTTTTCCATCAAGTATGAAGTTGATGAAATGGTTTCCTATCGATATACAGTATATATATATATATATCTTAATACCATTATTATTAATATTGCTATAGAATTGACTATTTTGTTTTCAATATGATTGTCTATTGTTGTATATCTCATCTTTGGTTTATATTTTTTATTTTGTCATTTTGTTTTTATGAGCAATAATGAAAAGACGATTTGATAATAAAACATGAACAAGCATAACTGATATTAGAAAAGCAGAGTACTGAAAACTAATTTTCGATTTTGCATATCCTTGTAAGTCAGTAAATGCACCAAGGAATAATAGACACTAACACGCAAAACTGCATCATACTCTCGAGATCTTATTCACAAAATTAAAATGTTTCATGATTCGAAAACATCAGGAATATCTTTTCTAGAATCTCACTCCAAGTTTTAATTAGACTTGATCAAGAATTGAAATTCTTCAAACTATATTTCTAAATACTTTTCTTAGGATCCAATGAGAAAACTTTAAATCGTAATCTGTCTGAATCTATACTATGAAGAGTAGAATTTGACTTCATCGTTTCTCCACGTGTTTTCCAGTATCTGGAACGCTTTTGACGCAGTCAGCTATACGGTATGCCGTCCGGTTTGCCGAAACTTCACCGGTTCAAGAGCATTCTGTAGCCGATCCGGACTGGTTTTTCGATTTCTTACCGGTTCCAGCTCTGACTCACTGACGCAGTTGTTTTGCAGTGTATCAGAAAGATTGTTTAATCTATAACTTCACAACAATTCATTATTAAAAAGTGAAGTTTTTATTATGAATGCAGTTTTATACAGGCTACCAAAATAATTTAAAAAATTCCACAAAAGATCACAATCCTTAATACATTAATTCAAACTTCTGGAAGAAGATAACAGAGCAACAGAACATGCCCAAAAAACACCTAGTATTTGTAGATTTCGAATATCACAAATAGCTTTTTATGTGAAATAACCACGATTTTCGAATTTAGCATGCAAAAATACATCGGAAACTCTAAAATTGATCAGAAAATGCTTCTAATAAAAATTCTCGCCCGTAGGGGGATACAGCCTAAAATTTTACCAATAAAAGCTGACGGTGAGTAGGGCGAAAATTTTCATTAGAAGTATTTTCTGATCAATTTTAGAGTTTTCGATGTATTTTTGCATGCTAAATTCGAAAATCGTGATTACTTCACATAAAAAGCTATTTGTGATATTCGAAATCTACAAATACTAGGTGTTTTTTGGGCATGTTCTGTTGCTCTGTTATCTTCTTTCAGAAGTTTGAATTACTGTATTAAGGATCAGCATAAGGGTCAATATTTGTTGAAAATGATTCCTGTCCTAAAGCATTGATTTTTCTCTCAAAAGTAAAAATGTCCAAGGTTTGGTTTAGTGATCTCATATCCTCACATCAGTCCCTACTAAAAAATAATTAAAAGAAAAAAAACTAGCCGAGGGGGGTATATGGGCGAGTTCCTTTTCCTGTACGTATCAAGACTTTTTTCCGCAATTGGCATTATCAAAAATTGACAGCCGTTCGTGCTATTCGAGGTCTATGACCCATGTTTTTATCACCTTTGGAATGAGATATAAGCTTTAATAAAATTAAGCACTAACAATGAAAATCGCAAATTTATATGACATTTAACAAAGGACATCTTAAAGTAATATTAGCGATAAAAATTCAAAAATTTTTGATCTTAACGATCATGAAGAGAAGGTCTCTTAAACAAGAAAGAATTGTTTGTTTGTTTGTTTAATTCTTTTTCTTTTATTTAAAGATATTCAACAGTTATGTTTTCAACGGGTCCAATGTTTTTGACGCATGAAGCATCATATTATCGAAATCGTTCGTCTATAAGTGTCCTTTCTGCAGAACTTTATGGAAAATATATTCATAATTCATCTCGATCTCTTTTTCGACACTTAAAAGGTATAAAATAAATAAAATTCTTATTTTATATGCGTTTACATTTTTTTTTTCAGCTTCATCTTGGCATGGTAATGATGCTGCAGTTATCAAATGGATTTATCGTCAACGAACAATTTTATTTTTATTATTGATCATGTTATCTCTTAAAATTTTGGTTCTTATATATTTCATTCAACATTATCATATAATTATGAATATTCTTAGAAAAATTTCCTCAATAATCAAATCAAAATTAAATATTGAATCGTTAAAATATGATAAAATTCATTCGAACATTAATTTCACTTAGTTTAACATTTACTCTTGTTTTTTTTTTTAAATTAATTTGTTGAATTCAATAGATTAATGTTTAATATATATTGTTGTTCCTATTATCATGATCATCCTTCTAGAGTAATTATTACTCATTATGATATCATCTATGTATGATTCGCAGAAAAAAAGAGGGCAAACAGTCTACAATGGTTTATTCTATCTAGTTATAACCCCAATATATCCTTTCTGTTTTTTTGTCTTTCTCTCATTCTCTCTCTCTCTTTACTCTGTGACCTTCATAGTATTCATCATTATAGACTCGTTGAACTCAATGTGCGGTGCTTTTCATTGGTTCTACGCATATTCTTTTTTCCTTCGTCTTTTTTTTTTGTTTCGTCCTTCTCTATTTTCTCGAAAATGAATAAAAGAAAAAGAGAGACTTGATCGTTTGTTTAGGCCCCTAGAAAAAGAGAAAAAATAGATTTACTGATCCTATAAAAAGCCGAAGTTACTGCTTGAATATCTTTATAAAAAAGTTTTAATACATTCTATACTTACAAATCTTCTCGTTATTCATTCACTTACTATATAAACGAACAAAATGGAAACTATCAAAAACGCTGCTAATGCTGTTGGTGATAAAATTCATGTATGTATCATTGTTTCTTAATTTTTCAGAAAAAAAGATTAAAACAATAAATATCTTTTGTTTTCTTAGGAAGTAATCAGCGGTGCATCAGCTGAAAGCAACAAAGAAAAAGCAAAAGATTCAAGCAATACAGCTGGTGAACGTATCGGAGCTGGAATTGATTATGCAAAAGATAAATGTGACGAAGCTGGTTATGCGGCTTCCAAAGAAGTTAATAAACAAAAAGCCACGCATTAATCAACTCAATTATTAATAAACTTTGATTTTATATGTATATATATAATCTAGCTCTCATTTTTCATTTGGTTGTTGTCGTTCCTTTTTTCTATTAGCTTGTTTCTCTATTTGCGATTTTGTCAAGATATTGTATTCGATATTTTGTGCGTAATGTTCATTTTTCATACTAGAAAATGATGATAGTGGCATATAAAATACATGATATTTTATATGCAAAATAAAAAATAACATAAAAAAAAAAATTCTTTTTCTTTGTCATTTATTTATGATCAACATCATTTTACAATAATGATATAGAATTCTCTTATAAGATTTGAGTCTATTTGAATAGATATATTTTTACTCTATGTTCGGCATACAAAGAGTACATTGCAGTCACGTGTCATATCAACGTGACTAAAACATAGATCACGTAGTTTCAATAACAAAAGATATTTAATTATGGGTTTTTAATTTATATATGTATGGCAAAGGAAAAACAAATCAATCTAAAAATAAATATAAAATGTAACTAATATTTTGTATTTGATCAAATTTCAATAATAATTTATATTTCATATTTTAAATCACAAGGACGTTAAATCATCTTAAACTGAAATTCTTTTATCTTTTTTTAATATAAAGATTGTAAATATAAATGTTTCGAAAGATCGTGATTATTTTCGTATGACAGTAATTGATAATATCTATGATAATTAAAGTTATGAAACATAGTTGATAGTGTGATTGAGTGCAATAGTAGGAAAGAAAACATGTTTACTACTACATATGGAGTAATGTGAATAACTAAAGATAGATTATATTTTTTTTATTTTAATAATTATCTTTCAATGAAATGAAGAAAAAATTAAATTTGTCGAATTATTTCTAATGAATAACATCAACAAAAACAAAAAAAAGAAAGATCAGCAATCGATTTCAGATATTACATAACATTTATTTTTTTTTTGTTTCTTAATAATTCAAATGATTTATATACATATCTATTTATAGAATACAGTGATTACTGATATTAAATATTAAATATATATATTTTTCTTTTCAAATATCTTTGCCAGAAAAAATCTACTCATAGTGATAAAGAGTAAAATAAACTTGTTAAACATAATTTACGTTGTTTTTCTTTTCGTTCTGTAATATATATATATTTTTTTCTTCAAGGATATTTTTTTGCGAATAACAAAAAATATTTAACAAGATAAACATGAGAACAAAATTAAGCAGTTTTTTTTTGTTATTTCGATAGGATTCCATTTTTTAATCATTCACATTTTATAATAAATGATAATGTGATAACAAATAAATAAGAATATAAAAAACATATCATTCATTTATTTTGTATTGTCATTAAATTCTGTCTAATAAAGAAAAGAAAATCTATTTTCGTATATTGTACAATCTGTTATAGTGATATATGAGGGGAGTGTGTCGACATGACTATTTAATGAAGTAGTTTACAGCTATCTTTATTATGTTCTTCAAACGAGCAATTTGCATGACATTTTTTGTACTTATGTACCGAAATATTACGCAGCTTCGGATTTGCGCTTCTAGTCGTAAGAGTAACAATCGTCGTTATCTTAAGATCATTTTGGATTAACGACATTCTTTATCATATGATGTCGAGACTTCTATTAGTAATACTTAATTTACTGTCAATTGTATTGAATTTCTAAAACTATAAAGAACTTAATCTAAAGTAAACTCTTCATAAGCCTTTTAATAAAACGTATGTTTCTATAATTTTTTTTTTCTAACAAAACAGTTTTAAATGCAAAAAAAAACAAATAAAATATATTCAGACGTCAGAAATTTATCAAATTCATCGATTTTAAGCTCAAAACTTTCATCATCACAAACAATTATAATCGTTTGATCGTCATGCATTTCAACAAAAAATCTTGTAATATGGTTTTCTGAAGAATTATTTGAACTTTTTTTGTTATACACATGAAATAATTTGAAAAAAAAAAACTTTATTATTAAACAAAATTTGGAAATTCTATCAAACTCAATGTCTGTTTTTTTTTTCTATTTGTTAGTATAGTTATGAAAAACAATGAGTTCAAACTTCTTCTACATGTTCTCATGTTATGAAAATAATTTTCAAAAAAGTTGAAATGGCTAACAGATAATGTAAAACTATAATGTTCAACTAAAATATTTAGTAGATAAAGTTTGTGATAGAAATCATGGACTGTCTTTCAACAACACTGGTCTTCTATAATTCTTCTGCAATAATGAGAAAATTTTCTGATATATTCAAAATATTCCCAATTGACATTATGATGATTAGATAGAAAATAATTACAAATGAAATACTAGTGTAAGTAGATTTGTATACAAATTACTTCTATGACAAGTTATGAAATTTCCAATATCTTATTATTATTTTTTTTTTTTGAAGAATCAATTGCGTATGAAACTAAAATGTTTACTGTATTTATCTCAAACAAATAGCCTTCATTAACTGAAAGTACTAGCTCAAAAGATTAAGAATTTCATGATAAAGATCGTTTTTAAATTTTGATTTCCCTTGTCTTGTAGTTTTCATGTTTCATTGATAGATAATAAGAAATTCATTTGAGTATACTGTTTCTCATGATTCTCGAATATGGCTAGATTATGTTTTACAAAACTTATAACTTGTTCTTTTCTTTTTTTTTTATCGATCAGAGAAAAAAATAACTATTATAATAAGACATTAATTACTTTTACCTTGTATATAAGCACAGAAATCTGTTTTTCATTTTCTATTTGTTTCATTTGTTATTGTATGAATGTCATGATTTAAGGCATAAAAAAAAGTACGATAAAAGATTTATCGCTTTTTACTGAGACAACGAAGGTAACATTGTTTATTATAGTCTAAAAGATGGACAACCAATCAATTAACTAGAATTACACTATTAGTTAAGGCTCTCGTCACTTATTCTATGAGATGTGTAGGATCAAGTTCTTGTAATTCAAATTCCGAATTCTATTCATAGATTCAATAGTTTCAATTTTTCAGGTTCTGATTTCAATCTAGAGAAACCTGGTACAGAATTTATTTCTATCATGTTTAAAACCATTATTAAATATTCGTTTTTTTTTGTTTTTCAATTATTTAGTCGGCCACTGGTATTATTTTTGTCATCTCTTCCAAATCTATACTTTAATTGATATGTTCTATAAAAGTAGTCTCTTAGAACAGTAGCACAGTTAACTGTAATCTATAGTTCCAGTTCGGACACCAGATTTTTTTTCTCATGGATCCAGTCTTAGTTTCGATAAAATTTCAATGTATTATTTGAGTTAATATGAATAAGATATTTCATATAATCCTAAGAGAATGAAACGACTTTGATCTATAATGTATTGAGCAATGAAATAGATGGATGCATAAAAAGTTTTGATCTTACGTGTAAAAATTAAAATTTGAATTTAGTTATGAAAAAGGACACCGCGGGATTTCATTGTAAATCTGCCACCTCTCAGTTTTCATTGTCAATATTATAGAAAGGTAGAGCTCGAAATTCTATACCTTTCTGTATATTTAGTTTTATTTTTTCTTGATCAGAAAAAAATTTTTCGAAGACCACTTTTTCTGTGGCGCCTATGAGTCTTTTGTAAGTTTTCAGTGTTTCGGATGATAACGGTAATGTTCATAATTT